GTGGTGTGAATAGAATGAAACATCATTTTGCAGGGACTCGTCTTGATGTAGCACCATGTGCCCAATGTCCACCGGATGTTACACAAAAATTCCTCCAAATGTTGGAAGATGCCAAAGGAAAAAAATGAGAATCCTAATGAATGCTTCGTAGAGGATGTTGAAAGGGTGACCCGAACCATTGATGTTTTTTTGTGATTAAAGGCAAGGAGAAAGGTGCTAGAGGAAGACAACAAACATTAAATGAATTGGTAAAGAAAAGAGAACCGGTGATTCAAGACAGATGTCGTTTCTTCTGTAGACATGCACTAGCTTTCAATTTAGTTAAAAGTTCATTGTTTAATAAGATGATGAAATTGATTGGTGAGTATGGCAAAGGATTAAAACTCCCTAGCTATCATGAGGTTAGAGTTACTTGTTTGAAGAAAAAAATTGAAAATGTTAATGTGAGTTTGGATAATTATAGAATGGAATGGAAGAAAAATGGATGTACTTTGATGTCAGATGGGTGGACCAATGGAAAATAACATTCACTCACAAACAATCTTGTTAATAGCCCTAGTGGTGACGGATAATGCTTCGGCTTATGTAGCCGCCGGTAGGTTGTTGGAGGACAAGAGGAAGAAGTTATTTTGGTCTCCTTGTTCTGCTCATTGCATTGATTTGATGTTGAGTGATATTGGTGATTTGCCAATTTTTCGTGACACCATTTCAAAAGTCAATGAAGTTACATTTTTCATTTATAGGCATACTTGGGTGCTTAGTAAATTTAGAGAGTTTTCGAATAATATGGAATTGACATGACCAGCGATTACAAGATTTGTCATTGCATTTCTCACCCTAAAGAGTTTTGATGATAGGAATTCTTGTCTTGGACGCATGCTTTCATTGGAAGATTGGGCTAATGGACCTTTTTGCTTCAAAGATTGATGCTAAAAAAGTTGAGAACATAATTTTGTATAATCAAAAATTTTGGAAAGCAATCAAGTATTGCTTAAAATCTGTGATTCCATTTGTTAAAGTGTTAAAATTAGTTGATGGTGATGCTAAACCGGCTATGGGATATATATATGAAGCAATGGATAGGGCTAAGGAACAAATTGCCCAAAATTTCAAAGAAGAGAAAAAAAGGTATGAAAAAATTTGGAAGATTATTGATGATAGGTGGAACATGTAACTTCATAGACCACTTCATGCAGCGGGGTACTTTCTTAATCCCAAGTAAGTTCACAGAAACACTTCCTATTTACATTTACTCATATATAAATTGTGATCCAAATTTTAATCCCAAGTAACTTCTTATTAGGTTCCACTATGATCCAAATTTTAATGTCGATAAGGAAGTAAAATTTGGCTTGTATAGGACAATTGAGAGAATATACCCAAGTACTGAAACAAGAATATCTCTTGACGAGCAACTAGAGAAGTTCAAGAAGGCTAACGGTTTATTTTCTATTAGCATGGCCGTGTTAACAAGAGACAAGAAACAACCCAGTAAGAATGAAAGAACATGGTTTTAATTTTACATTATATATGAACTAACCTATATAGGTATCTTGTTTAAATATGGAGATGATTGCAAAAAACTTCAAAGACTAGCTATAAGGGTATTAAGTCTCACGTGTAGTGCTACAGGTTATGAGAGAAATTGAAGTGTTTTTGATTATGTACATTCTAAGAAAAGGAATCGCTTGGAGCAACAAAGATTAAATTCTCTTGTTTATGTGAAGTACAACATTCATCTTGAAATGAGACAATTGAAAAGGCAAGAAAAGAATGAGACATGTGATCCAATTTGTCTATCGGATATGGAATCCGATATTAAGTGGATTACTAAGAGTGAAGATCCATGTCTACCAGAAGACAACTCATGGATGGATGTTCATAAATGTTTTCAACCTGATGAAAGTGCACCTTCTAACAAGAAGAGAAAAAGAGGTATTCTTTAATCTTTATTATTTATTATATTTATATATCGTTTGCCATTTAATCATTTACCAATTATTATTTGTAGGAACAAGGGCTTTTAAAAAAGGCAAAGCTAAAGTTGTTGAGATAGATGATGATGAAGATGATGGTATTGAAGTGGTTAATGATGAGAAAACGGAAGAGGAAGAGGAAGCAAAGATGGTTGAAGTAGAAGAAGATGATGATGAAGATGAAGATCTTGACCTTGGAGATGATGAGGATTGAAGAAATTGACTACCTCTATTTTTTTTGATAAGTCTTGGAACTTAACTTTTTTTAATCATTCAATGTACCTCTCATTTTTTGGGACCATAGGTCCATAACTTGACTTTTGATTGAAGTATAATTATAATGATAGATACATATTCTCTTGATAGATGTTTTATTTTATATTTTAGTTGGCTTGCAAGTTACAAATAATATATAAAAATCAATCACGGTGAGACTCGAACCCACATTTTCTATCCATAAAAGTTAGCATATTTTCATTTAGACGACGTTATTATGTTAATTGATTATTTTTACAATGCAATAGTGCTCAAAATTCAATACCTAGCCTATTTTAACTATATAAATGTTATTTTTTTTTTTATCTTTTTTTGAATTTTGTGTCGAATCTTACGATTCACGATTCACAAATTAAGATTCTAATTCACAATATAAATCTCAATTTAACAACTATGCTTGTGCCCATGACATACTGCCAGCTAAGTGAGTATCACCACCATCTTTTGTAGTCACTCCACCACCACTCTTGTTGCCCTCATCATTATTTCCACCATGATTACTGTGAAGACCCTGGTCCATTACCGGACCCCTATCTTCCAAGAGCATTCCTCCCATTACCGGGATATCCCGCTCTCCACAAAGGATTTCGGCTAACCTGCGGGGCAAACCCCCACAGTAGCCTTTACCTCTGTCCCACATCGGGGAAAGAGTCGTCTCCCCACCCCCATATAAGCCGAAGCACCATATGAGAGCAGTACCCAAGTAGCACACTGTAGTGGACTTGGGTACTGCTCTCATATGGTGCTTCGGCTTATATGGGGGTGGGGAGACGACTCTTTCCCCGATGTGGGACAGAGGTAAAGGCTACTGTGGGGGTTTGACCCGTAGGTTAGCCGAAATCCTTTGGTGGAGGGCGGGATATCCCGGTAATGGGAGGAATGCCCTTGGAAGACAGGGGTCCGGTAATGGACCAGGGTCTTCACAATTACTAGCATCATCATCATCATTACTACCACCACCACCATAAGTATCATCAACATTATCATCATCATCATCAGAAGTAGAAAAAGAATCACTGGAACTAACAAAAATTCTCATAGGTTTTTTACCCTTATTGATTGGCTTCATATCTTTTTCAGATCTTTTGGTAGTGGCATAGTTGCTAGATGTTGGAGCCGTATTAGTGTCACTTTCATCAATTGCATCTCGCCCACTTCCACCTTCTTCAATGTCACGAATACCTTCATCCAGCCAACCTAAGTTATCAGGTGACAAATATTGTTCCTCCCCCTATCTTATCCACTCATCTAATACGTCCTCATCATTAAAAATGTAGTTCAGATCAATTGAATTATAAAAGTCATCATTTTCACGCTGATACATCAAGTTTTTAACTCCCAACTGTATATTGTAGTGTGTAAAAACTAGCTTATGTAGTTTTTTCATTGTCAATCAGTTGCACAATTTTGTATGGATCAATGACCATATACTTCAATTTCTTTCACACCCTAATGATGAACATGTTTGACTTAAGACTTTGACTGCAATCTTTTGTAGATTAGGTGCTTCTTTGCCATAATTGCTCCACCATTCAGCTACAAAAAAATATGTACAATATTAGTATTTGTCCATAAGAGTAACAAATGATACTTTAATAAATACATATAATTTAAATAATAAACCTAGAAGGGAGGCATGTGTAGCTTTCCTAGTGAGTGCATTTCCAAACTCGCCATGTAAGTCAGTATATAATTTGATCTGTAATTTATTATGTAATGTATGACGTATGCGACCAATATATATACATATTCTAATAAAAATTATCAAAAAACATCATACCTCATTCATTGTCCTTGCTTGTTTATTCAAATTTGATTCCAATCTTTTAATAACGTCTTTCAAACCAGATCTTACCTCAGGATGGTCATAAAATTGATTAGAATACTAAAAAATTAGATTCAAGAAATAAGGTACAAAGTTTTTGACAATTTAATATAAATTAGTGGAAAACTATAATATTTTACAAGCTAATACACAATGACAAATTTATATTTTTAAATACTTTTACTTGTTGCATACAAGTGTCTATGCAATTGGATCTCCCATTTTTTGTCGATCACGGCCCAGTATTTTCTCCAATTTTTGACTGAATGTTGTATGTTTAGTTTAGCCCTTTCCATTGCCTCATAGATAATTGATAAAATCAATTTTTTGTTTTGATTAACTATCTTTAAGACCCTAACAAGAGACTCCATGACAGATTGAACTTCTCTAGACTTCTTCCAACATTGGTCAGTCAAAATAAAGTTTGAGACTATATATCTTGTTTTTCTCCTCTTTTTGTCTTTTTTGAACTCACGGCATTCATCAATAGTGCACATTCTTTTCAAGTCCGATTCTTAACAGATAAGACTTTCAATGATGGTGAATTCAGTGGCAAATCGTGTACCTAGCCTCAATAAATCTCTGTCTCCAGTATGTTGTTTCATTAAGTTCACCACTTTGAGACTGTTGTAGATAAAGGATGTGATCATCTTAGCATCATCTATGATCTCCTTCTAGCATCAAATCAATACAATGGGCAATACAAGTAGACCAAAATAGATGTTTTCTTTTATCCTTTAAAGCTTATCTCATTGTCAGTTACTATATGTACAATATTTTCTTCTCCAACTTCATCAACAATTTTATCCATAAGAGAGAAAATATAGTCAGCAGTTTTTAAAATGTTGGTGATATCAACTGAAGTATGGCAAATCATACTACAGTCACAATAAATTATGAAATTGATAATGAGTTTCTTTGTTCTACTGAGGCCATTTTACCTTCATTGAAGATATATACGCATCAAGCTCTTGAATCTCTTCCTCCAAATAAGAACCACCAATTTGATATCCTATGGGGCCCTTTATTCCTGGGCTAGCATCCGCAATAGTTTCCATCATTGACTGATAATAAGGCCCACAATCAGCTGCATTGAATGGTATTGTATTGAAGATGAAGAACTTCGAAATAGTTTTTCCCATTTTTTTTAGATTCTCATTTGAGAACATGTCTTTTACAGACTTTTGTTTAGACAGGAACACGTACAGATCAATACCACTTACTGGCACATTGACACCTTCTTTTACACTATAGCTACGTGGTGGTCCGCGCTTGATTTCTGAGCCAGATGGTTGTAATGATCTAGAGCCAAAAAAAAATGACACTTAGTAAAATGACTGCTTGCGTTTGATACTGAATGCCTACAACCATCTTCCTCCATATAAGTCATTTGACGACTTTCCTTCATTGCTTGCTTTAAGTGTTTTCTTTCAAAATCACCCTCTTCAATTTGATTCTCACCATCATCATCATTATCATCTAAGTTGAAAAAACCTTCATCTCGTATTATTTGTATAATTCATTCTTTTTTCTTCTATATAGGAGTTATTTCTTTACTACAATCATTGAGATGTTGTCTCAAGATTTGTGACACTTCTTTTGGTGCATGTGGACATCCTTTCACTTGGCAGGATACATGTGCAATATACTATTTCATTCGAGTAATACCGCCATGAACTATTTTTTCACAATAATTACACTTTGTAATTCTTCAATCACCACCAATAGGTGTTGCGTGTACTCAACCAATGTCGTGTTGTTTAAAAGTCATCCTACAATATCACAAATTCCAAATAATTAAATAAATAACATGCAATTGATTGATTTAAAATTTTTAGAAATATGTAGTTCTATTTTTCTTTTTTTTTTATTTTAGTTTTTTACTTTTAATTTTTTTGATTATTAAAAAACAATAATTGAAATATTTATTCAATAAATAAGTAATTTAAATATACAACTAATGTAATTGTAACATTTAATTTTACATAATTTGAAATAGAATATACATCCACTTATTATATTAAATTAAAAAAATACTAATTTTTTTAATTATTAGTATAAAATATTATTGTATCTAATTATTACATTGAGACTTTTTTTACCACAAAAAAATAGCCTTAAAAAAAACACATCTGTTAGAAAAAAAAACTGTTGAAGGATATAGGAATCAAACTTATGACTTCCGAGTTGGTAACCTCCCTCTCTACTAACTGACCTATTACTTTTATATGATTTTAAAGACAAATATAAATATTTAAAGACTCTGTAAAAAATAAAAGACAACTTTTGAAGTGATTTTTTTCTTTTTGCCTACTTACCTGCACAATTGGTCTGTGTCAGTCATGACGAGAGACAAAAAGGCAGACATAGAGAGAACCAACAGACTCCTCGTCACAGCAACACCGACACTCACCATCATCGGCGATTCTTTGCCTATTGTCACAGCACCGAAGAAGATCGTCACAGCAAAGGAGAAACAAGAAGCGAAGAAAAAACAAAAGAAGAAGATGTAGACCCTATTTGGTTCTATATACCGATATGTCGTAAATCTTTAGTCTTCTTGGTTTTTATAGTTAAAAAAAAGGGGTTTAGATTACCAATTTCATATGATTTCTGCCATATTGGGTTAACTTTCACATGGGTTTCTGATGAGAGTAGTAGACTAGTAGTGGGTCTTTTGATTCTTTGTTTTATTTCTCATCCTCTTTTTTTTTAGATTTTTGTTTAGTTTTCAGGAATGATTGACTAATTTTTAAGCTTTTATAGATGTGGGTCTTGAATTTTTGTTCTTTGGAAAAATTTTCACTGGCTTTTTTTTCTCGGAACTCAAAATCGTCCGAGTTGAATCGAGTACCTCTGATTTCGGCCAAGACGTACGAGTTGAACTGAGATATCGCAATATCTGTTGAATGCGTCATTTTCCTGATTCGCGTACTATTATCGTATTGAGAGAGGTCGAATCGGATACAACTCGGTCAATACCTTGAACCATGTGAGGGAGGGTCTACCAAGCAAGACATTGTAGGCAAAAGGTGCGTCTACCACTAGAAAACGGACTGTGGTGGTAATCTGGCAGGGGTGCTCTCCCAAGGTAAGAACCAGTTGGATAGATCCCACAAGTAAAACTCTCCCCCCCCACCCCGAGAAGCCCAAGAGATGGGCTGTTATGGGTTCGAGCTTCGACTTGTCTATCCCGCACTATTCGAAGGCTGAGAGGAAAATGATAGCAACAAAACTGCCATTGTCTATGAGGATGTGATGTACAATTTTGTTAGCAATGATGGCTTTAATGACCAAAGAGTCATTGTGAGGGAGTTAATACCCTTCTAGGTCGACATCCGAGAAAGTTATCTCCATGTCTCTGCGTGGGGTCTTTCGTATTATCTGGATATCAAGGATGTGGTCTGACCTAGCCCCTTAGCGTAGGCTCTTCTCGTCGAGCTTGACTCACCCCCTCTTGCAAAGCCACCCGAGATGACCCTTATCTCTCTTAGGGTTTATTGGTGTTGTTGCTGGGGTAGCCCTGCAGTTCAATATCCCTGTCTTGCTCGTTTCGATCTCTCCCCTCCCCTGCCATGTAATGTCGCAAATAGCCCCGTTGAACCAAATACTCTATCTCCTTTTTCAGTTGCATATAGTCGTCGATATCGTGGCCAGTGTCTTTGTGAAAGTTACAATACTTGGTGAGGTCACGGCTTCGATGGCCAGATTTCATCCTTGGCGGCCATTTGACAAATCTTTCATTTTGGACCTCGTGGAGGACCTGAGAGATGGTGGCATTTAGGGGTTTGAGCGAGGCTAGTGCATACCATGGTTGAAATTCCTGAGGTGGAGGGCCAAGTCAATCCTTGACGTTCCCCCTTCTCTTTAGGGAGGGCTCTCTTTCCGTCCTCGGGGATCGGCTTCTCCTTGGGGATCAATCTCATCTTTTATCCTTTCTTGAGCTGCGTTCTCTCTTTTTCTTCTCTCCTTCATTTGATGTCGACGATCCTTCCTTCATGCGGATAGCCTCCTTTCCATTTATATACTTCTTGGTTTTAACAAGCACCTATGCCATTGTCGCTTAGGGGTTCTTGTCGATTGAAAATAACAGGTCCTTGGATTGGAGGCCAAGCCCAGACATGAAGGTCTTCAAGGCGAACTTGTCATCCACATTCTCTATTTTCAAGGACTCCTAGTTGAATCTCTGTACGTAGCTCTGGAGAGACTCTTTGGGTCCCTATTTGATGCTTAAGAGATGGTAAGAAGGCTTTCAGTAAGTTCATGCCCTGATGAAATGAGACACGAACTGTATGGAAAGTTTTCGAAAAGAGAAAATCGACGACGACTGTAGTCTGTTAAACTAGGCTATCGCCAACCCCTTAAGGGTTACGGCAAAAGCTCAACAACAAATGGGGTCAGGGTATCTATGAAGTTCCATCTGATTTTTGTGCGAGTTAAGGTGCTCCACAGGGTCCCTAGTCTCGTCAAATGTCTCTATCTGCGACATCTGAAATTTCTTAGGCAAAGGGAAATTTAGGATTTTTGTGGTGAATGAGAACTCGATTTGTTGGACTAGGGCATCTATGGTGACGGGGGTTTTCCCTTTCACCACCTCTTTCACATTTCCCAGCTCCTACTGGATTTCTCGGAACCTTTGCTCCTAGAATTGGTCCATAGCCTCATGTTGGGGAAGAGGAAGATGGTCCTCCCTGGGAAAGGCTCTAGCCTAACTCTAGGCCTTGTCATTTGTTCGATCTTCTAGATTTCTTCTACGGTTGTTTTCTCCCGAATGGTTGTGGTCATGGAGGTCAGTCACTCCATTGGGCAGTAGGATTTGGCGATCCTAAGGAGGAATGTCATTCTATGCTGGCAGTGGTGGTGCTGGAGGCATAATCGGGGCCTGAGGAAGGTGATGCGCTTGTATCCATGCCACCAGATCCTGGTTTTGCTTCATCAACTAAATCGTAGTCCGACGATAAGCCTCCAACTCATTGAGAGGAGCTAGGTCTGCCACCGAAGGGTCATTTTCAACATTCAGCACTGGGCCTAGAAAGTTTCCAGGTTGGTGTTATTGGGTTTGCTAATTCGCGTCAAACATGCTAATTTTCGTGTGGAAATCATCAATCCTCAAAATGAATAGAAGAAAGTTAGAGAAAACGATGAAACCTATTTCCCACAGATAGCGCCAAACTGATGGTGCTTGAAATCTATAAAGCCAACTACAAAATAGAATGGGGTAAGGCCCAACAGGGCTTCGCGTGTGTTTGTTACAGAGGATGTGTTAGAGGGTCAACTAAAAGACTAAGGTTACATCCACTTGTAAAAGAGGCTCTTGCTCCTAGAGGACTATATTACTTAGGGAAGAAGGCAGTGGTTATAGAATTTTTTTTTTTTTCTTGGGAGCCTTTTTTACAAGGTATTTTCTAGGTTGCCTCAGATATTCTCTTTATCTTTCTATGCTCTCTCGCTTTACATAGTACTATCATCTTTTATTTGTACATCTTGTTATTAGGGTTTCCACAATACTTTCTTTTCTGACTAATTCTATGGTCCCCTCCTCATTTGTAGAGTAGCTGAACCAGTTATCCTGATGTTTTTTGTGTCCATTAGCCCTGCAACATAATGTATATGGCATCCTCACTATTGGTGAATATTTGATTGTTAGAGTTGTCAGGCATTGTCCCCTGTCCCCAGTCCCCTATCCACGTGGCAAGATTGGGGTTACCTCGAATCTGCTTAGCGCCAAGCTCAAACTCCCAGACAGATGCTTATCGCCAAGCTTGTTGAAGTCGATTTGGGTTTTGATCTGGGCTGAATGATCTTGGGCTTTCATGGAGCTAGGCATGATCCAACCCAGATAAGGAAGACGCCATCCAAAGGGTTGTTTGGATTGTCTTTGACGAGCCCACCGGAAGCTTTGGTCCCAGGCTTAAATCCATCTCATTAGTCTGTAACCTACTTTTCATAATTGAAAACTACAATAACAAAAATCGTATCAAAAAAATACAAAACACTTCAAAAGATAATAAGTTTTATAATTAAAAAAGATAAATAAACTCTACCTATACTGTAGTTAATGAACTCAAACACTGAATACACACTAAAAGTTAGTAACTATTACTCAAAATGTGGTATAAATATCTAAAAAAGTGATTAATAAGCCTTTGGACCACAATCAATAAGCCTTCTCTCGGTGCCCATAGTTTTGCAGACATACTCCAAGTTTAGCCAATATTTGCCCGAAATCCAATCATTAATCTGCCCATGGAGTCACAGGTCAGATCACCAGCACCTGCTAATTCAAATACTGGTTGGTTTAGAGTCATGTCCAAATGCTCTCTGGCAAGAATTTCACATTTTAGGAAGTAAAAATGAGAAATGGCCCAAAAAATGGATAGGGATCAACACGTTTTTGAGCCTGCCTTGTGCATCCCCAAATCTGAATCCCGGAGTTGCTTATATAGCCACTTCTTATCCCTTGCATATATCCAATGACAAGACAATTTATCATAAATTGAACCAAAAAAGACACCACAATGAAGACATCTTGAGTTTTTTCCTCACAATAAAACTATGATAACCAATCCTTCACTAAAAACATAAAATTCTAAATAGGGCTCCCTTGGATATATCCGAGGACAAGACAATTTATCAAAAATGGAACCAAAAAAACACTAAAATGAAGACATCTTGAGTTTTTCCTTCACAATGAAACTATGATAACCAATCCTTCACTAAAATCATAAATTCCAAATAGGGTTAATAATCAAGTCAGACTTGTCAAACTTGTTTTTTTAAATGAATTTAAAAAATAACCCGAATATTCTCAATTATTTTATATATAAACAAACCAAACTTTCTAACCTCAAGCCATGTTTTTTTAGACTCATTTTTGTAAACAAGCCTAAAAATTTATATAAGTCCAACACAAGTCAAATCCAAATTAAACCCGAATAACTTGACTCAATTATCAAGCCTAATTCCAAATGATAAAATGTTTGATAAACAAAATTTTATTGTTCAATTGAAACTAAATTCACCCCAATTGGAAGCTCACAACGTAAATTGTCAAGCTCCACACCTTCTGGATCCAACTTTCGATTAAATATTCTGTCAAATAGTATTTCTGACTTACAATTGCGCCTGATGATTTTGTACTCGTAATCAGACATCAAACAGTCAAACACGACCACCATGAGAAAACAAGTTTAGAAGGCTCAAACTTATGCTCTAGTTTGGAATTGGACCTCAACTCCACATTGTAACACATCTTTTGATTCGACTACTCTTGTCCAAATATCACATCCCTTGGGTGAAGATAAAATGGCAGGAAAAATATCAGACAGAATGAATTTGACTGATAAAATTTTAGATTTCCAATTCATAACGAACTCAAAAATAGAATGATTTTGTCAAATAGGCTAATGAACCAACATAACGATTCAAATCTGAAAAAAAAAAAATTACATCAATTTCAAATCAAAAACAAAACCACATTACAAGTTATACTAAGCCCACTTCATTTCACCAGCATTAACAAACATGGATGCTTACCAGACCTCATTCCAACCAAAGACATTTAGGTTTTTGCTAAAAACAAACAAATCGTAGAATTACTCCATTGAACTAGTTGTATTAGTAAAAGCCAAAAACATATAACTGCAAATGCTAACCAGTTTCGTAAGCAAGAAAAGATCAAGTGTTTTAACTTCTAAGAAATTATTCTATGGATCCACCGTGTTATCAACAAAATCCAACATTATACATCATGAACTTAATCTACAAAATAATTTTGCTAAGCATCCTCCCAATTGTTCATCCAACCACTCCAATTGGGCCTGCACAACCGTTTTTGTAGTCCGCTTTTCATCATCTATTCAAGGTATGTTTATCGCAACGCTATTGTACTTTCAATTGCTATTATTATCAATGTTTGTTGACTTGTACAATAAACTTATTACAAAAATACTGTGGTTCAAAACTAATTTGACACCATTTACAAATAGAACAATCCTCTGTCAATAGATAGAACGAAAAGACATTGATAATGTAATATACTTCAAACACTAAGTTCAAATAATTCGCTTGTATTATTGAGCACAATTTAACTTCTTGTGTACAATGGTGTCCTAAGATTTATCTGAATTTCATCACTTGATGATTTTTTGAGAAATACAGAATCCAAAAAGATGTAAGAAAGAAAAAAAATTCAAACAAGAACACCAAGAAAACAGAGTAGAAAGCAGGATAATCAACATCACAATGGATTAGACAACCAAATATGTCCAGAAAGTTAGCAACAAGATTATTGTCTTTCATCAAACAATCAAAAATTAAGAACAATTTAAACATTCATTTAGAGACAATATAAGATCTCTAAACCCTACCTAATAACAATCTAGTTGGAGATAAATCAGAAGTTTCAGTAGTTGCAGAAAGAGTAGATTCAGTAGCATAGTTTTTTGCATCACTTGAAAAATAGAATATCTCAGTCCAAGTGTTGGAATATTAACCATTGTTTCATCCTCATCCACACTATACTCACAAAACAAAAAAATTTGTACGACTCTATCAAATTATTTCAGTCACAAACTTATGTGAACATAATCTTCAAATCATGTTAAATGAAAAAATACAACCATTAATTTAAAGCGAAACAGGTGATCTGAAATGGGTAAAGAGATTACTCAGCAGTGGCAATTTTAAGTAATAGGTTCGATTCTGCCAGCAAAAAGTCTTCAGCTATAGATTTCAGAAGAGGGAGCTTTGCTATCCTCATTGCAACCTTCCTTTCCCACAACACGTAGTTTAAATCTAATCAAAAATCAAATTCATTCAAACAAAACGAGTGTGTGTGTGTGTGTAGAGAGAAAGAGAGAATTAGAATCGCTCAGCTCAGCTCAGCGGGGTAGTCGACACGCAAGCTTCTCTAAAGAGAGCCTGCATTCCGGTCTGTTGAGTTTGAATTTTTATGGAGTCATCAACGCGATCTCTTTCAGGATCTCAAAATCGAAAACAATAAGAAGAAAACTACTGAGGAAGCGTTGAGCCAGAACATTTGCGATCAGAGCGAGAGCGAGAGCGAGAGAGAGAGAGAGAGCAGTAAACGAAGCTGAAGAAGGCGCAATTCGTCGGAAGCTGGCTCTGTGCTTTAACCCTCACTGGGTTCCTAGGGGTTGTTTGGATAGTGGGGTTCTCCAGCCTAATAATGATTTAAGATTCTTGTTATTGTTGTTCAGGATATCCCAAATCCAATAACTACGGGAGGAATTCCTGCTTTTTCTTTCCCTTGAAAGGGGCTCTATTTTTTATTTTTTTTTTGTCAAGCGTTATTACAGGCAACAGGAGGACGAGACTATAAATTTCAAGCCATTTTTAGTAATAATATTGCATTGACCCAAAAGAAAGGTTATTTATGCAATATTAATTACTTTCTATAAAAAAAAATTAAAAAATTGACCTAATTTTCTAATATGATAATTAACGTGACATTGAGAGTATCATTTGATGCATTTTTCAAGTATATTATTAGAATTATATTATTAGAATTCAAGTATTGAATTTTTCATTGAGAGTATCATTTGATGCATTATTAGCTCATTGTATTAGACCAGATTTTCAATTCCTAAACATATTAGTCATAATTTCCACACTTCAAATCATGACATAGACAATTTGTTATAATTCATAAGCTTTAAACTCCATGTGCTTCGACTGCGTGAGTGATCAAACATCAATTCATAAACGATAAAATATTACAAGCATAATATTATTTGTTCCGGTTTGATTTTTAGGTGATGTGACTTATTTTGTGACATTATGATATAATCTTATGAATTTGGGTCTAGAGTACAAGACCTCTGACTTTCCTTTAGTTATGATGCAAAATTGGTATAAATAAATTGAATTCCTAACTCAATTTAGTAAAGAAAGTATAATTCAGGTCTTAATATTTCAACTTTTATACTAAAATTATTAGAAATAAGAATAAATTTACAACTTATTCTAGTGCCACCGCTATAAAAACACATAAGTCAACTTAAAATGAGCCATAATAAAAACCACTTACTTGTAACATTGGAGACTATTTCCCTTCCTGTTATGTAATTGTACCTGCTAATTGCTCCAAATATATTTTTCAACTTTGCTATTTCAAGCATCTCATCAGTAATGAAATTTGGTTTCTTCAATAGAGAACTCCTATAAGAATCAATGTATAAGCAACCAAAACTAACAACCCTTCTATGCATTCTGTAATACAGAAAGCCCTCCTGGCTGTTTATACAGATAAACAAAACACATGGAATACAAATGAGTTTAAGAAGAAAGTATAGCCGGGAAGGATGAAGACGCTATCTTCTCTCATTGCTGTATACTTTTTCTTACAGCTCTTTATACAACAAACCATATAAAGGACAGCGGTCTGGGGCTGGCCAAGAACAAATGTCAATAGAGACTGGAACTTAATGTCAACATAGGATGGGAACAACGTTAAAACCAAGATCAACAAAGGCTGAGGGCAAACATCAAACACAGGGTCAATAGAGGCTAAGGCACAACAAAGGTCGAGGTCAACAAAGGTCCGAAATCAAGGACAGCATTCAGATGTTCAAGGCCAAGGCTAAGGACAGAGTCAGAGGCCAAACGCTTTGGTCAACAGTGACCTAGGTGCTATGGTTGGGTTGGTGTTACAACTATGAGCAGAGCACCACTGCCAATAAAAGGATCATGAAAGCTAGATCAAATAACCACACAGCCAAAAAGCTTGAGACCTTCAAAGAGCCAATGATACTAATGAAAAAGTGAGGCACAATCCTCTTCACCATAAGTGCATATGCGAAGGAAATTGTGCTTGCAAGAAAAAGCGTAACTACTCTAACACTAAATGACCATGGGCTGTCCAGTAACCATATCGCCACCAGTATCACCACCATGCTCAAGACAAACACCACCGTATTGGATAGGATGAAGTAGAAGCCATCTGGAATTAAACCTGGATCTGAGAGGATACCTACAACACTGATTGTATCATTTTTAGCCTGTTGAGCTAGTGGGAAAACATTGCCATAACTCGGAAGAGCTTGATAAGCAACCCCTGCAAAGAAAATTGAAGCAGTCACAAGCACAGCAACTACTTCAATGGATATCCTAGCCCGCATCAGCCTGTCCATAGTGGTGGATTTCGGTGGTGGTGATTGAGATTGCAATGGAACTCTCTCCTGGGCTTCAGCTTCATGGAAGAGTTGGAGGATATACCTTCCAGAACTAGTCAGACAAGAACTAGTTTGACAATAAAGGTGTAAGGCTGTGTGGCCCACGTTGTTCTTTGAGTCTACTTGCACCAAAGGCCCTTTTTTAGTGTTGTCCTTGAGCAACAAACTTATTATCTGCATCAAAATTGAAGTATTCCGAATAGAAGATTATATGACATTTAACAAGAAATTGACAAGAATTGCATTCAACAATGTAGAGCTCGGCGATCTATCAGCCATTGCTAAAAACATGAAAACAGTATGTATAACTATCATCAATTGCCAATAAGAGAATCAGAACCCAAAGTAAAATAAATAACCTTAATGAGTCTTGATATACGGGTGTTCTGCACATTTACTACTATTCATGCACTTAAGTTTCAAAAGGGAGCATACCTTGAAAAAATATCAAAACATTTTCTGCTTTTAGATTTTTTTTTTTTTTGGCAAATGCCACTCTCTCTCTTTTTGTGGTGTTTCTGTTAATTAAAAAACAAAGGATTGAGTAAGAAAATTTAGGATAACAAGCAGGGTGAAATATAACAAGTAAATCTAAGTAATTTATACAACAGTAGCATTCCTCATCTAGAATTTCAATGATGATTGGTCAAGTCTGACATATATCGAACTATTATTCACGATGAACACAGATAACAAATGTTACAGTGGCAAACGGGTACATCTGATCAGAATATGTTCTCAATCACCATGAACCCTCATTCACTCTGTGCAAAAGCTCATGTGTGTAATGTGTATGGATGTCTGAGTTAGAGAGAGAGAGAGAGAGAGAGAGAGAGTCAAACCTCAGTTTGCCCCTTATCGGATGCAATATGGAGGACTGTGTCGCCATTGTTGTCCTTGCAGTTCAGAAGGTCCTCATGGTCCAACTTGAGCTTCTCAATCTCTGTCATCAACACTTTAAAGAACTCCCACCGATCGTTTTTCAGGGCCAAGTGAAAAGTATTTTCCCGGAAAAGGGTCACCCGAGTAACAGACTCTAAAGTAATAGATTCTGGACAATCCTTGACTAACAGTTTCAGAACTTCTAAATTTCCGACGATCGCCGCAATTTGAAGAGGAATTCTACCGTGCCAGTCCCTCAGAAGACACAGATGAGAGTCAAACATGACCAGCTCCTTCACGATCTCGATGTTCCCATTTTCACAAGCGAAGTGCAAGCCAGTGTAACCATTGATGTCTCTGGACCTTGCGAGTTCTGGGCGTTTTTGGATCGCCTGTCTCACAAACTCCACCACATTGTTCTTGCAAGCAATAAGAAACTCCGTCGGTGAACGTTCTTGCTTAATGTTTGAGTGATCTCTATGACTTAGTTCAAAACCAGTGGGGTCATTAACGGCAAGTTTCGACATCGCCGGAGCCATGTTCGTTTCTTTTTTGTTACAATTGTGTGATGTTTTTCCGGCAACTGATTAAAATCACAAAGCTTGAATCTCACTCTCTCTCTACGTTTTCCTCTTCTTTGTGATCACAAACTTCGGAGAATTTTCGTGGGAAGAAAAATGGGTCGGGACATGGTGTTGTGCCAGAGGGTTTACACGGGAGATTAGGTAAAGTTTAGAAAGACTTAAAAGACGATGGCAAATATCATTGATACACCCTTGGGTAATTGATAATATCAAGGTGTCCCATCGTATTTTTTATATTTACATTATGAGCAATACTATGTAATTCAAATTTGTATCTCAAATAAAGAGGGATTATTAGATCAATGGGTTCCATTTAAAAAAGTTGATGGGACTCATTCATCTAATGATTCCCTTTTATTTGTAATACAAATTTTTGTTACAGTTATATAGTATTCTCTTGGATTATTCTCCCTTCTACTTTGAATTTATATTTCATGGGTATTTCTCAAATGGTCAATGTTAAGGTTGACCACTGAAAAATTCTCATACAATTTAGTATTTTTCTTAAACAATACCATTTAAAGCCAAAGCTAAAGCAAAAAAAAAATTTTAATTTTTTTTTGTTTAGCCTCCTATCCAACCTTATGCCTATAAATTGAACATAACATCACATGTGATCAATTCTTTTTACAAGCATATAAACCAACAATCGCAAACCCTCATATAGCTGTGGTTAGGATCAATGTCAAATTGCAACCTTCCCATTTTTTAGCCAGCTTGCCCCTAGATTAACGGACTACTATTCTTGAATGGACCATTCATTCCTAGATTAACGTGTATTTCAGACTTTTACAAAAATACTCCAACCACTAAACCCTACAATTATCTTGAAATCCAACAAAACGAAGAGTTGTGATGCGTCCAACAAGAGACAATACCTTGCAACCAGTGATTCCCTCCCCAGTGACGAGTAATACAATTTTTTAATATATATATATATATATATAGATAGATGAGAGATAATAGAGGTCAACGAGCAAGAGTAACCGGATTTAGAATAAATAGACTTATATACATACATAGATATATATACACGTAATATGAGAGAGAAAGTTACCAAGGTGGTAAGAGGGTGGTGGACCATGGGAAAGAGATATTGTTCGATAATAATGGTGTGTGCCTATACGTTTAAGAGAGAATCAAACATAGGATGACAGATTACTTAAGATAGGGATAGATCTTGTATAACATAATTTTCCAAGTGCTGATTGTGTTGTCTCCATTTCCATTGTTGATGTTTGGTAAAATCTAACATAAATGTCAGTATAATTAACAATACTTACAAGATATTTCACAATTATCAACAACCATAGGGTGTTCAAGTGTAATTTATCCCAAATAAAATTATTAAAACCTCGCCGCGTGAAGACCGAGTAAAGTAAAAGTAAACGATAAGGCTGGGCCCGTCCTTTCGTCGAAGAGTAGGTGAAGTTTGAAGTTTGATTGAGAAAATTGTTGTCCTTCTGTTGTTGGTGCTGTTCCAGACTTCAGTTTTAGAGAAATTATGAATTACTCAGTGGATGTCGCGGAGTCGACGGAGATCTCATCGGTCGGAGATTATGAAGCTCCATTACTGTTTGGGCTATCGAGGGTTTCAGACCGGCCCTTCGGCGATTATTCGGATGCATCACCAGAAAAGGAGGTTGGGGCGAGCGATAAGTTTTACTTCCCTATATCTCAGTTCGATGTGAATGTTTTCCCCCGAAAAATCGAGTATTTACTGATCGCGATGTGCAGTGAATTACCGGAGATTTCAAGGTCTTGGTGGCGTACTTTGTATTCTCCGACCAACTTTGGTGACTGTAAACAATGCAAAACTATGGAATTACCTCGCGTGTCCTCCTCCTGCAATTTACCACTTCTCGATACTTGCCCACCAAAGCAACAAGTATTTGAAGTGAAAATAGCTCACAAGTTCTCCTCCCGGAATAACGCAAATCTTGATACTTGCTGTCAAAAGAGAGTAGTAGCAAATAGCGCGATTGGCATTTTATCTGAAATGAAGGATGGATTTGAATGTGAAGAGGAATTGAACGATTATGGGAACACTCCATTACATGTGGCTGCCAGCAATGGAGATCTAGAGATCCTGATAAGCCTAATAGCGAGAAATGCAAACGAATGTCTTCGACGGGACAAGCATGGCGGAACACCTCTCCACGCGGCGGCGAGGAGAGGCAGAGTGGAGGCCTTGAAGGTAATTCTCGAAGCATGCCCTAAGACAGTGAAAATGGTCACTGTACCAGGGGAGAACTGTCTTCACACCGCGGTTTTGTATAATCAAGTTGGAGCAGTCAGGTTCTTGGTGGAATGGCTTGAGAGAAATAGGGAATACGCCCATCTCATTAACGGGAAGGATTACGATGGAAAGACGCCTCTGCATCTGGCCATTTCAAGAAAACAAATCCAGGCAATTTTTTGCTATTCCCTTTTATTTCTACAATTATTTGTTGGATACGAAAATCATCTTTATCCTCCTCAAATGCGGACTGTAAATCATCTTTGAGAATCAAAGTATTTAAGGAGCATAGCATCTGTTTGATTGAATATTGCAAATTTTATGACTTAGATCCGTGCAAAGAACACATTCTCAAATCCACATATAGAAGAGTAAAAGAATAGTTCTAAAAATATTGAATTATTAATTGAATAAGTTCCCATATTGGGTCAACCAATCAAAAGGAGTCTCAATCACTGGAGCCTAAAAGGAATTGGACTTGCTCACAAATCAAGAAGGAGTCAAGTGGAACCAAAGCCAAAGGCCAACGCCCAAGTGAGAGCCAAGCCAGGCGCTGCCTTGGGGTCAACCAAGCCAGGCACCGCCCAAGGCTGCCCCCTAGCCCTCTCCTTTGACCTCTTCACTCCAATACAAATCCAAGACTAATCCAAGTCAAGCCCCAAGTCCAGGTTCAAGCTCAAGATCAACATCATCCTCTGACAGAATGGGGACACGAGCGAGAGAATAACGGGATACGGAGATCTAATCCTATTAATATTGTATTTACCAAAATTATGGAAGACTTTTCACTCACGTCACCGCCTTACCCTAATTATATAATGTACGCCCTCTCAGTATTGAGGGCACGCCTCTGAAGCCTCTACACTTCCCCTTATACACCCTCCTCTCTCCTTTTATAAGCACCGTAATACTTTAGGAGAATACTCTCTCTAGCAATTTCACCCATTAATAAAAGACTCAGGCCACCACTGTCGTTTACGAGAGTGGAGTAAGTCACCCGGACCAAACCATTATAAATTTCTGTGTTAGCTCTTTATTTACCTTTTTACCATTAATTGTCTGTTTATTGCTCATTGATTGTTTCTATTCATATTCTTAACTGTTGATCTTGCACGAGATCAATTTGTGCATCATCAATATATATTTTTTATGATAAGTCCCGATAGAATTTTCATTGATCAAGAATTTAAAACATCAAATTGGAGAGGAGCTACCAAAAACTCATGTGGGTTCGCTCTCCATACAACATAATCTTTGACAATTTAACGTGTATCTTGTTAATTGTATGAGCTACACCATTAGCTGCATTAGCCAACCTTTGGACCCATGATAATGAAAAAGAAGGAAACTGATCCGCATAAGCATTTATCTGATCAAGAAAGTTCCCAGTATCTGAAAAAGCTTCCTTGTCTCGTAGCTATAGAATCAATGGATGCCCTTTGAATCTCCTTCCAGCTACATTCTTCTGATACCCAACTCCAAAGCAAGTTTGGTAGCACTGAAGGCAGCCCAAGCTTCCACCTGATCTGCCTTATTAACTCCACGTATAAGCCTGCTTTGACCCGCAACAAAGCATCCATTGCAATCCCTAACAACAACTCCCGCAAAATCCATATCCTTGAAAATTGTCCCATCAAAATTGATCTTGTAAGAACTTGATCAAGGAGAGCAGACCGCTTAGCAGTAACAACTGCATGAATCTGATTCCCCCTGAGCACATCTTGAAACTGATGGCGATATGAAGCCTGCAAACATGCTACTTGATTTGTGTAGTTGACCTCTTGTTGCAATCTTGCCTTGTTCCTATTAAACCAAATAGCATCTGTTTGATTGCATATTGCAAATTTTAGGAGAAGCAATTTTGCAGGCTCATTTTGGCCACTTATATGGTGCACAAGGTAGACCAATCAATAACTATTTACTCGATTATAGACTAAATATCTCAATGACTTCTTTCTTTCTAATTTGTTCTCAATCTTCTTCAATAACAAAAATTATGTTTTGCAGTGCTATCTTCTCTGTGAAAATAGAATTAGACAACTTTTGTTCTGAAAAACTGGTAGTAATCTTAATTTGCTCAGCTAACAATTTACCCAGATATAATATCAGATTTAGAGTTTATCTATTTTGATGCATTAGCTTCAATTCAAACTGCCAGGTTCGTAATGTTTTTGCATGAATGCTAAACCATTTAAAAATCATGTTTTTCCTCTTATAGATTGTTGCATGTTTCTTTAATTGGTGGTTTGACATGTTTGATGATGACGATGAAAATCTTTCTGGAATTCTTAAAGTAGTCCTGTTGAGAAGAGATCTGTTTCATAGGACCTGAGTAATGTATCTTAGGTGTTATATAGAAAATTACCATTTGAAACAAGATTGTTTATTGGTTCCATGTTTCTTTGCAGCTGAATGCATGTAATCTGTTTAGTTTTACTTGGTAGGATTGAGATTACCTTGTTCTGACACTTGCCTATCTTTCTCGCAGACGTTAAAAGTTTTACTCACCCGCAATCAAAGTACTAGTGAACTGGTAGATGTGAATGCCACTAGTTGTGGCGGATTTACTGCTCTGGACATCCTGGATGTTCTAGAGTATTCTCAGAGTGTTGATGTAGAAGTTTACAATATCCTTCATCAAGCTGGAGCCTTGAGAGCCCGAGATCTTGCCAATCGTGATACCAACCAGTACGCCGCTCAGGATGACAAAAGGAAGGGGTTGAAGACAACAGATAAAAGCAGTATTGTGCCTTCCATCAGAGTGGCAAATCATCACATGTTGTTGCTGATGGCCACCATGGTAACAACAATTACCTACCAAGCAGCACTTCATTCCCCCGATGGCACATTTAAAGCGCACTACTCATATAACTACACTTCAAATGGCAGCAACCTTCAACTGAAGAAACAGGAGTCGATCATAACACAATCATTCCTGTTGTTCAATTCCATAGGGTTTGTTGGGTCATTGGCTGTGGTTATCTTTCTCCTACATGGATTCCCATTAAAACCATGGCCACAGATCACGGTGTCGATGCTGTTTGGATCCTACATGTGCTGCATAATGTCTATCTCGCCCAATGAAGCCTGGTTTCTGCTCTTTTTTGCAATTCCCTTTTTATTGTTGGCAGCAGCAGGAAAGCTCATTGGCCTTGGACGACAAAAGGCTTTTGAATGATCCTGATTTCCGCATGCATGGATAAGTTCGGCAAGTGAAGTGTTCTTTGTCTAATCGATATCTGTATGGGAGAGCCTCATTTTGGGTTTCACATATGTAGCTTGTGAAATGTGTTGGCTTTTAGTAAAAGGTTGCTTCTTTTTTTTCGGTTTGAAAAAAAAAAAAAAAGGCTTCTAAAATTATGTATTATCATAAATAAGTGTGACTGATGGTTCCATCCTTTTGTAATCGGATTGTGTTTTCAGTTATTGGTGTATTATCTTCATTGATTCCAGAGGTACCATGTTCAACTCTCTCATTATCTATATGACGGTCTGGTGAAATGACGGCCGTCTCATCTCCAAATAACAAAAATGTTTATTACCCGCCCAAAGCAAGACCTACTGATAGTTTTCCTACTGATTTTTGAGGGATTTTCGCATGGACATTGTTAAAGTCGACAAAGCTAAGTTCAAGTTAACACATTGTCCCTCTAAATTTTTTAGAAAATTTTTATAGTGCCTTTGCTCATTTTTATCTTCAGTAAGTTAGTAGTCACTTAATTTAGTAAAACAAATATTTTATTGTTATACAGTGTAAAACACATATGAAATTCATCCATTCATATATATCAATCAAAGACGATACTTCTGTTATGTAATACACTTTCTCCTTTTTTTTAAAAAAATACTTGCATTGATGTCCTTTATTCATTTTTTGTTAATTAGGGGCTTGAAACCCAATACTACATAAACAAATGTTGTGAATTATAAAATATGCTCAACTCAAAAGCATTTGTCTTTCCATACACATAAATTTTTCGACGAGATTAAAAGAAATTGCTTTAAAGTATTCCTATGGCATTGTTCCATGCATTCTCACAGTCAGACTTAAGGTCCAATAAATGGAGGATTTTTCTAATACTAAGGTGTCATTGTAATATTCAATGCATTCGCTGCTCTCTAGGTAGATCTTCTTTCCCCTCTCCCTCCATGGCGATTACCATTTTGAGCAAATGCTCACTCCTCCTGCCCCTCCATCGCCATCTATCTGCTCCTCCTCCCCTCCCTCTCCTACTGCCTTAGTAAATATCTGTGCACCCTTTTAAGTATTTCTCAAACCCACCTTTTTTTTTCTACAACCTCATAAATTACCCATTCCTCTTGTGATCTTCAGACTCCATCTCCATCTGTCTCTTCCTCCTCCCCTCCCTCTCCTACTGCCTTAGTAAATATATGTAAATCCTTTATCTATTTCTCAAACCCACTTTTTTTCTACAACCCCATAAATTACCCATTCTTCTTGTGACCTTCAGTTCTCACCCCTTCCTTTTCAATAACCCATTCACCCAACCACCCATCCTTCACACCCACACTGTGTTATGGACAAACTACAAAGCACTGATACAGAGCTCACAATTCAGCTCAACCCAGATGAAAATACCGCTCAATTCGGGGAGAACGGCTGCCTTGTTGGGAAAATTTAATCTGACAAGCATATCAACAAGAATGCTGTCAAGATTATTCTCAATCGCTCCTAGAATGCAGTAAGCAACTTGGAAATACATGAAGGGGATGATGATACCTTCATATTTGTTTTTGCAAACGAGGAACCAAAGAAGAAAATCTATAACCAGTGCCCTTGGTTGATCAAGGGCTAGCTACATATGCTCAAACAATGGACAAAGGCAACCCCCATAGCCGACATAGACTTCAACTCAACCCCTTTCTGGATACAAACTCATAGGCTCTCCCCGATATGATTACACCAGAAAATGCAAAGAGAATTGCAAATGCCCTTGGCAAGCTAGTGGAAGCAGAGGAAAAAATTGCCCAAAAAACAGTCGGGAAAAATTACCGACGTACAAGGGTAATTTTAGACCTTATGCACCCACTTCGAAATCACTTCTGGATGCCGATGAAGGGAGCACCTAGAAGATTGATCCAGCTCCGATTCGAAAGATTGGGGGATTTTTGTTATAGATGTGGAAGAATTGGCCATGAAAAATCCAATTGCATCTTTGAACCACCAATAGACAAGCACACCAAATACGATCAGCAATTGTGAGCATCTCCATGGAAAACTGGGAATATTCATCACACAACAGAGGTACATCTTTCGCCAAAATAACTCATCGAAAAAAGGATTGTCACCACCAACCCTGGAAGAGCGTGAAACTCCAAGTCTGGAATGCGAGTCATCACAGGTCAGAAAAATACTTTACGATAGACACGTTAATAAATTTTTAATTTTTTTATTAATATTATAAAGACTTAATTTAATGTAACTTTTATTTTAATCGTAAATTTTAATGTTAAATAGAGTCTATTTTTAATCAAAGGGGTGCATTAAATTATGCCATCAAATTAGATCTAAATAATATTTTTTTTTCAATTGGCCATAGAAATTCATAAATTCATATTTACTATAATTATACGTAAAAATTTATTAAACATAAAATGTTAAAAAATTATTTGTATGGAATGAACAAACAAAAAATAAAAGTAAATTAATTAAAACTTTGTATAAGACTAATTATCATCTTTTTACGATTGAATCTGATTATTGTTTTTTATTTAAAAGAATTACAAATCAATGATATCAAAATGATAATAACAATATGTCATTTATTACTTTATAATTTTTGTAAGCTGATTTCTATATAATGACAAAATAGTCCCATAATTTAGAAAAATGACCGCGATATGTCTAAAAATTATTCGAACATATCCAAAATGTGTCTAAAAATTTAAGAATAATAATAGTTGCCTTTAATTCGAAATTTAATTTTATATCATGATCAAAAAAAATTCAAAATTTAATCGGTGGTAAGAGCGCAATGGTTTTTGACTATTAGATGGATAATAGATATCTATACAATAAAAATAGCTCATATTTTAAATTGTATCTCAGTCATATTTCTCCTCTTAAAACCATCATCAATCACTTACCTCACTCATCATCCTTCTGTCAGACTCAAACGTTATGTCGCATCACTCATTTTTATCACATATTTAATTATTTATATATTTCTCCTTAAAAATATCACATTACTTATTTTTATCATATGTTTAATCATTTAATATTTGATTAATATGTAGTTAACATAGTTTTTATTTTAAACATTATTTATATACAATAGTATACACATATTGAAAAATTTTAATATAATAGAATCAATTTTTTGAACACTCGAATTTTATATTTTATCATACCTTTTAGGCACGAGTTATGACTAGTTATTAAATATAGGGACTCAATACTATATTTAATATCACAATGTATTAGTTTCAATAATATTATTTAAAAATTAATTTTTATTTAAGTAACGGTATATCTTAATTGATATCACAATAACGCAATAATAAGGTAGACACAATTAAATATGCTTAAATTTTATTTTAAAAAATATATATCTAATATAAAAAAAATAAAAATTAAGGGTATACGCAATTAAATATATCTAAATTTTATGTCAAAAAAAAAATTTGAAGAAGACATGTGCGGCTCCGCCCCTGCACGTGGCACACTAACGACAGACAGCAAGATAGCGAACTCCCAACCTACCTCTGCAATTGTTCTCCCATTCTTTCTCTCCCTTTTTCAAAACGTTAAAACACCTCAAATTATCTTAGAGTAATGATATCGAGACCTAATTTGTTGATTTAATTCATTATAATCTTTAAATTAATTGTAAAACTCATTAAACATTAAAATTTGATTTTAATCCAATAACTCTATTAAAATCACATCATTATATCAATAAATTAAATCAAAATTTTAAATTCAAATAATATTATTCAATCCCTTATGCCGTCTAGTGATATCCTATCCATGGACCACAAAAATATAGTCCTCCTAGTACCAAGAACCCACAAACCAAAAACCCAAACCATTCCCCATATGTCCATCAAACCAAAGCCCCATCATAATTCAAACACAATCAACGACGACTTCAAATACAGAACCATCAAACATTCCACCCAGATTGCCGTCTCCAATTGCATTGCCGATAATTGACAAAAACTAAGACTATCACTAACTCTAAGTCAAATTTAAATTTGAATATAAATGGTCTGAAAAATTTTGGAAAAATTACATTCAGACTTTATGAGATTTGTCACTTAACACTTAGAGCCGTACTGTCAATATCCGTTAATAAATTACACTCAAATCTCTTGAAGTTTGTATATGTTTAACACTTAGACCCCTCAAGTTTAAAATGTTATATTTAGACCAAAAATACTCCAATCAAAGATATAATATTAAAATTTTAAATTTTACAACCAAAATTTATGTTCTATTGTATCATTTATTCAAATAAAATCAAAAATAAAAATTTAATTTTTTATTCAAAAATCATAATTGGTATGTAATTGTATTATCTATTGGAATTTAATTTGGTCATTTAAACGATCAAATTAAACTACCAAATTATCTAAATTAAATCTAGAAGATATTGTGTCTATTACAGTTTGATCACTTATTTGATTTTTTAGTTTTATTCTAATAAATAGTATAATAATATATTAATCATGAATTTATAAAAAAAAAAATCAAATTTTTATTTTTGATTTTATTTTAATAAATGACATAACAATACATGAATTTTAGTTGTAAAATTTATGTTTTTTTATGAATGACTTAGCCTCTTATTTAATTTTTTTAGTTTTATTTCAATAATTAGTATAATTGTATACTAATTATGATTCTTTTAAAAAAAATTAAATTTTTGATTTTTGATTTTATTTCAATAAATGATACAATAGAACTTGAATTTTAGTTGTGAAATTTAAAATATTTGATATTCTATCTTTAATTATAATATTTTTGATCTAAGTATAACATTTTAAACTTCAGGAGTTTAAGTATTACACACCAACAAATTTCAAGACGTCTGGGTGTAATTTATTAACGGATATACTAACAGACATTGACAATAAGGGTTTACATATTACGTGCGTATAAATCTCATGGAGTATGTGTGTAATATTTAAATGTCAGAGAGTTTGAGTAATTAAGTAACAAACTCAGGAGTCTCAATGTACATAATCCCGAGAAGTTTCCAATGGGAATGAATTCTAAAAGATCCCTCATGTTACGAGGGGAAACGATCTGAAACACCACCATTCCCCACCTCAAGGTTTTACAATATTGAGCAGAATTCTGCTGCCTTCGAAACAAATTGTAATGCAATGAATCAAAAAGAATGGTGGAGCTTGAATTCCCTTAGCTGCAGCTTATGAGCAATTTAAAAAAGAGATTGTCAGAGCCCAGGATTGGATTCAAGATTGTATTTCTCCAAAGCTGTTCTTTTCAACCTCAAAGTTTTCCACCAATTTGGGGTTTTTTTTTTCATGGCATCCAGAGTTTGTAAATGGTTGTAAGAAGCGCTCCGACTTGATGACAGGGCCAGGCTGCTAATTCTGCTGGCAAGAGGCGACGAAGCCAGCTATATCAGTTCAGAAGCGACGATCAGTCATGGCTGTGTAACTTTGATTTGAATGGTGATTGCCATGAGCCTGGAAGCAAATCTTTCAGCATTATATCAGGTTTGTTTCAATAAAAAGAACCATAATAAAACACTTTGCACAAGAAAAATGCGATCATTTCATTGCACCATTTAACCAGAGTTAAAATGATATCTCCTATACTTTCTCTCTGAAATAAAACCACATCAAGGAATTCTTAACACCAGAACTGCTGCTTATGAGACTCGGGGGACATTCACTATTAAGCATGACCATTCTTTTCCGTGTCTCAAAAACACGGTTGAAACTCTCAAGGTTGGGTAAATTAGGATAGAATCAGATTGTGTTCTTACAACTTTTAGCCGGATCCCACGATTTTCTATCTTAGTATCAATAGAGATATGTGGAAATCAAAATTGCAACAGAAAAAACAAGGTTGCTGGGACACTAAAATTTCTCTGATCTTTATATTTAAGTCCCAAAAGTTGATAGAAATTCTAGGGATTCTTAAAGTTACAAAAAGGTTCTCTTCTTTTAACTGTGCCATTATCTAGGGTGGCCATTGTTTCATGTTAATTTCCAGCGATTGTTTCGTGTTAATTTTCATTTATGTCGAGTATTAGTCAACTTTAACTCAACTTATTTAGTTAATAGTGTCACACTATTAGAGTATTTTAATAAAAGTAGCAATTTATGGGAAAAAACTTAATTCCGCGTTAATTAAATTTCTAAAATAACTCGAGTTTATATACTATATTAGTACTATTTAGACATTGAGTTAAGTGAGAACTTATGTGTGTGGGAGAGAAGAGGGATAATGGTGGTGGATGGTAGAGAGAAAGAAGAGAGAGAGAGAGGAAGAGTAATCTTATTTGGACCTAAAAATTTGATATAATTTGTTGATATAATGTTGTGACTTCAGTAAAATCATTGGATCAACACCAAAGTATGAAACGACAACAACAAATTAGACTTGATCAAACAACTCTTTTGTGTGAAGTGGACTTCCTAATGACTTAGAATAATATTAGATGAACTTAAAAATTAGATTTAAAAATTAGATTTAATAATCTCAACTATTGAATAGGTAATGGGTCTTAATCATTATTATGACCCACAATAAAATTAATGATTGAAATTATCAAGTCTAATTTTTAATCTATTTTTTAAATCTATAGAATGACTTGTATGTGTGTTTGATACAGTATTCGACAAAAATTAAAGTGGTATATAATGATTATGACTCCAGAGTCTTGTCGTTATGATTTATCGATTCAAAAAATATTTTTTTATTGCCACTACAATTTTTCTCACTAACATTATTATTATTATAGGGGAAACTGCTCCGCAAAGGGGTTGTCAGGCCGACTTTCCCAAGATCTCTATGCCCCTTGGTCTTGACGCACCAAAGTAAGAAACGGCAACAACAAATGTTTGTCATGAGTGTGGACAAGACATTTCAAAGTTTTGAAATCTGAGATGTGAAACTGATGTTTGGTGGGACCCGTTGTTAGTATAAGTCCCATGTATGACCAAGAAAAACAGCACATACACGGACACGTTAGACACAAACAAGCAAACATGGGTGTCGTGCTCGTGCAGGCTCAAATTGTGGTGTATTGCTAATTTGAAAGACCAAATTATGAATTGGGCATAACTTTGCACGCAGGCAAGGAAAAATCAGGTGTTTTGTACTCTATAATAGGGCTTGGAGTTGATATGTGTAAGAAGCACTTGGAGTTGATGAAGGGGCGGCCTGCTAATTCTGTTGGCAAGGACCCAACGAATGAGAACCAGTTTCAAGTTTCAAGTAAAACATTATTCCTCCCATACAAACACGGAACAGCCATTTTTCTCATTTCAGGAGTGACAATGCAAAACAATGGAACATTGATTTGCATGGTGCTTTCCTTTCTTTAGAAGCAAATCTTTCAATATTTTACTATATAGTTTCAATTTTATTAGTTAATTTCTATTAACTAAACCCTCAAAACAGTGTGATTGCTACATTCAACCATTTAACCACAATCAATCTAACGAATTTGTAGGATGCGGAAAAAAATTCATCAATTCATACAACATGACTTCATTTTAAGGGGAATGTTACTTGGACTTAATTTGAGGATATATGGACCTAATTCATTAAAGTGAGATCTCTTAATACACTTTCTTTTTCTTCTTGATCAATTACTTACTATACATCAAAATGAGACTCATTGTATGTAAGTGAACTCTTATGTTTGATTTTTTTTATCAAACCCTAATATACATAGATCTATAGTATTCTCTATAATCAAATCTAATAATCATCATATATTTAAACAAGGTAATTGAAAAACATGTAAATTGTGAATCAGGATAACGACCCCTTATTTTCCTGAATAGAAGAATTATAAGAATATAGTGTTCTACCCCAATTTTTGATGCATACGACTGATAGAAAGTTGATACGTTAAAGTGCATTGAGATGAGGATGACTACCACATATATATAGGACTTTATCTCTTAGTCATCTATCCATCAAAGAAATCATATGGGTCCGTTTGGTTAAGAGGAAAATAATGATGGGAAGTGAAAAGAATAGAAAGTGAAGTGAAAGAAAAGAAAATGAAAGAAAATATATTTTCATGCATATATTTAGTTAGCATAAAAAATTTGCAAGAAGATTTCAAAAAAATTTCATTTTATTGTTTTAAAGAAAAAAAAGTTATAAGAAATTTTTTTAAATTGTCTAAATTACCCTTAATTATATTAAATCAGTTTAAAGAAGAAAAAATATGTATTATAATTAAAAGTTAAATTTTTTTAAAAAGGTTACTCCTAACCTAATTCGAACAACCATCAGCACAAAGGTATCTGAGTCAAATTATATTATTAACTAAATTCATACCAAGATTTTTTTAAATTAATAACTAATTAAATATTTTAAGAAAAATTAGGGTAAAATAGGAAGTTAATTATACATCACAACTTTCTTGCATTTCCTTGTGTTTTTTACAAGAAAAAAAAATTGGTTAATTGTAAGAAAATCTAAGCATGGAAGAAAAAAAAAATTCTATCATTTTCTATTTCATGCTAACCAAACACATAAGAAATTTAAAAAAATTCTCTTTCTTGCATTTTCTATCATAATCCCACTAAACAAACAGACCTATGAGAGTAGTAGACTTTCACTCCTTATTTTTAGGAAGTCACACTCCACATATTAAGTTACACAATTCTAGTTGAGTTAGATAACCTTTAACCCATGATTATAATACTACATGTGTAGAACAAATAGAAATGTTTTTAGAAAACGTTCCAACAATATCCCATTTGGTCCACACAAGAAACAACACACATGGGTTAAATACATTTAAAATCGAGTGGCTGCTCTTTAATTTTAAAAAATAATTGCCTAAACAACTTGGATATTGCCTTAACTTTCACCCAATACTAAAAACAACACCAACGTGGATCATGAATATTTTGGAGTTCCATTTATTGACTCCAATACAGTTCTATGGTCTCAAAGCTAATGTCATTAGCAGAATTGAAAGTTTAACTTTATATAGTTTTAATAAAGAAGTTATATGGTCTCAAAGCTATTGTCATTAACAGAATTAAGAGTTTAACTTTATGTAATTTTAATAAAAAAGTGGATAATAAATAAATATATACACTTCCTGCAATCAAAAGCATACATTTCATATGTCTGTCATGCGTCATACTTGTAATGTGTCATCCTAATATATTACAACATACCGTTATGTGAAAACCATCACCAACCTATTAGAATGAAGGTTTACTGATATGTTGCTTAATCATATCTCATCCAAGCATAACCCGATGAATTTATCATATATTCCCGGGCCGTTATAACCTCATAGCATATGCACAAATAAATACCCAGATATAATATGAAATATAAAAGCACTATTGCCTTTATTACTACTAGCATTCAATAATAAGAGTAAAATTTAAATTATAATTGAAATATAAAACATGAACTGAAACATAATGGGACAAAACCCCATTTTAAACAGCATAATCTAAAGTTTCTACCACTCCCATATGACTGACGTACACTTCAAAATATTTTGGTGGTAGACCTTTTGTGAGAGGATCAACAACCATCAATTTGGTATCCACATGAGGGATCTCAATGACTTCCTCTCAAACCTTCTCACAAACAATAATGTACTTGATCTCTATATGTTTATTACTTTTGGTCATTCGCTCATTCTTCACATATTTAGTCACAGCTTCATTATCACAATAAATAACCAATGGTTTGTGGATAAAATCCACAACACTTGGCTCCATTATGAAGTTCCTCAACCACATCGGGTGGCGAGTTGCCTCATAACAACAAATAAACTCAGCATGCATAGTCGAAGCTCCATGGGTAAGCATAAAAATATATCAAGAAGTAGACTTCTGACTATCACGACATCCTGCATAATGTGAGTCTAAATAACCAACAACCTCAAGCTTGTCTGATCCACGAAAGACTAACATAAATTCTTTTATCATCTGCAAGTATCGCAACACTTTCTTCATAGCCATACAATGTGCTAAAATAGGATTTTTCTGATATCTACCAAGCACACCCACAACATAACTGATATTAGGTTGGATACATATCATCTTGTCCATAAGACTCACATACATCATTTTTTTTCCATGGATTGTAGTTCATCTCGAATAGTAGTCTTCCAATGTTGAGATTCACCTCTTTCTAGGGCTTCTTCAAACAGCAAAGGATCATCTATTTCAAGGCATTTCAACTCATCCTCCTATAAGTAAACCTTATACTCATTAGGTATGGTTGATCTACGCACTCTAGTAGATCTCTTTAAAGGAATGGGCTCCACCTCTGGGGTAACAGGCTGTTGAGGAATTGGAGGCACAACTACTTCTTCCTCAACTATGGGAGGGATCGAAACATTTGTAAGAGCTGGAAGAACCACTGAAAAATTAAAGACTGGAATACTCCTATTATTTTCATGGAAATCAATTTTCCTATGTCTCGAACCCCCATTGACATGTTCATCTTCAAAAAAACTTAGTATGATTGTTCTCAATTATCTCCATATGTC